AGGTAGGACTGCAACAACATCCTAAAGCTACAGTATTAATACTGGGTAGTACTGCGGTAGTAACATAGTAACAGATAAAAAAGTAAAAAGATGGAAAAGCCGTAGACAGTTTTTCTCAGTTGTTAAAGCATTGGCCCGTGGACTGAGGGTCTCGGGTTCAATTCCGGTGAAGGGCACCTACCTCAGTTGCATGTTCGATCCCTAGCCCATGTTGGGGTGCATCCGCGGGGGGGGAGGCAACCAGTCGACGTGTCTCTCTCACATCAGTGTTTCTCTGTCTCTCCCCCTCCCTCTTATAGTCCTACCTCAGATACGTAACCCAAGAAAGTCCGGAAGGTGCCTCTCCTGCCCTCCAGGTTTGGGGGCTGTCCTTGCTGGAGGCCATACAATGTGTCATTGGGGGCACTGGGTCCAGGACATAGGGATGTGTGTTCTGAGCAGTCCCATGAGTGAGCCGGATGTGTGCACTTGGCCAGAGATGTTTAGTAGCTCAGCTGTAATCACTGTGAAGGTTGCTGTCCCCTAGTACATTTTTACTAGTATGTCTGCTCTGACAAAGACGGTGACAGCATGCTTTCCTACCCTCCAGCATCTTTCCCGTATATTCCTCAACTGGATGTAACAAGGAGCAGACGCATTCATGGCTGTTACATCTGAACTGCCGAATGGACTATCATCCAGTTCTTAAAAGGATTTCTCAGAAATGGCACCAAGTCTAAAACACATCATAAATGAAACAGACTTGACATCATAAAAATTAAACCAGCCCTGGTTGGGTGGCTCAGTTGGTTGAAGCTTTGTTCTGTACACCAAAAAGGTTGCAGTTAAATTCCCAGTCAGGGCACATACCTAGATGTGGGTCAGGACATATGGGAGGAATAGATAAATGTTTTTTTCTCTCTTTACCTTCCTCTCTCCAAAATAAATAAAAACATATCCTCAGGTGAGGATAAAATAAATAAATAAATAAATAATCCCCTGAGACAAATGAAAAACCTCCATTATTAACAATAGTTTGTAAGTTGGGAAAAAACAGCTGCAATATAGATCACAAAAGATGAGTAAGCATCCTGCCCAGCCAGGTGGCTCAGTGGTTGAGTATTGAACTATGAACCAGGTCATGGTCTGATTCCCGGTGTGGCCTCAATCCCCAGTTGGGGACATGTAGGAGGCAGCCAATCAATGATTCTCTCTCATCAATGATGTTTCTCTCTCTTTCTCCCTCTCCCTTCCTCTATGAAATCAATAAAAATAGTTTTAAAATAAAAGATAAGCATCCTTCTTATATAAAAATTCTTGCAAATAATAAACATCAGTATAGGGTGGGGCTTCGAGACACTATGGGGAGGTATCATTAAGTGATTAGCTGGGATCGTTACTAAACTAGTTTTAGCTTTTCCATAAATAAAATGGGGATGATAATAACACCTATTTCACTGACCTATGAGGACAAAAGACTCACAATCAATGACCCAGTTTGGGTACCTGGCATACAGTGCTCAAGAAATGGTGACATAAGTCATTGCTAACAAGTGTTATGATTCCTTTTGCTAAAAAGTTTATAAAGCAGCAAAAAAGGAACCAACAACTGGGATAGATCTCCAGTAAGTTATGCTGAGTGGACAAAGCCAACTTTAGAAGGTGACAAGTGGGATGGGTCTGTGTATCTAACATTCTCAGCAGGACAAACTGTAGAGATGGAGAACACTACATTAGTGGTCGCTGGGTGCAAGTGACTGTGAAGGGGCGACGGGAGAGTGGGATGATGGAACAGCTCTCTCTCGATTGTGGTGGTGGCTTAATGGTGCTAAATGTAGGACAAATTGCACAGAACTATACATACACACATACATGCTCACACATGCACTGGTGAGCCCTGAATAAATTGCACTGTACCAAGGTCATCTTCCCAATCCCGTATTATGTTACAGACATGCTATATGTCTGGGGGGCTGGGGGAGAACATGGGGCCTTTCTGTACATTTCTTTGCAATGTCCTGTGAATCCACGATGATTTCAAAAGACCTAGTGTTGGTTAAGGGGTGAGGACATTTCACAGTGAATACACGGCCACAGTCAGCCTAGTGATTGTCCCCAGAGGACAATCACACACATACGTTGCAGGGTCCTTACAAAGACCCAATGTGAAAGCCACCTCTCCTAAGTGTGAGATGTTGACCGAAGCATGTTAGCTTTACACAAACCAAGAAAACTGTGGAGAAATTAAAAATAGAGACACTTCCTTTAGTCTGACAATGAGCACTCCCTGATGTCTCATGTGGCCTTGAACCCTGTAGTCTTTGGCAGAGAATGTACTGTCACGTAGAGATCAGTGCCTCAGGGTTTCCCAAAAGGGAAAGACTGGAAAAGTTATTCTTGTTTTAAATGTCTTCCAATCCAGACAATCACTAGAAAGCCTCGGCCTGGCATTGGTTGGTCGTCAGTGCCTTTCTGACACCATTTTTTCAAAGCAGAGATGGCCCAGGCAGCCATGGGCAAGGCTGCCCACAGACCCTCAACATGCCACTTAGCTACTATTTCAGTTACTTTCAGAGACACCTCCTACTTAGGACCAGGCTGCTGATTTTCTGATAGGAAATGACCTTTTGAAATAAACTTAACAGAAGCAAGTTAACTTAAAGTCAACACCAGGAAAATGCCAGACCGGGACTTACAAGGAGGTGTGAGGAGATTGTGGCTGGAGGACCTATTAGCATTTAGAAACTTAAAAAAATAAATAAAAATGTGTTTTTAATTGATTTCAGAGAGAGGTAGGGAGATATAGAAACATCAATGATGAGAATCATTGATTGGCTGCCTCCTGCACGGCCTGTACTGGAGTTTGACCCAGCATTTTCCTTGACCAGGGATGGTACCCTGACCTCCTGGTTCATGGGTCAACGCTCAACCACTGAACCACACCATTGGGCACATTTGAAAACTCTTTAAAAAAAATATATATACATATATATACACACACATATATAGATAAGAGAGAATCATTGATTGACTGCCTCCTGCACGCCCCCTACGGGGGACTGAGCCGGCAACCCGGGCATGTGCCCTTGGCCGGAATGGAACCTGGGACCCTTCAGTCGCAGGCCAATGCTCTATCCACTGCGCCAAACCAGCTAGGGTGAAAACTCTTGATAGTGGTGTCCCCCTTAAACGGACAGTCTGTCTGGAAGGAGGGTGATGAAAGGGGTGTGTGTGTGTGTGTTGTACTGGAGTTTGAGCCAGCATGTGCCTTGACCAGGAATGGTACCCTGACCTCCTGGTTCATGGGTCAACGCTCAAGAACAAGACCCTCCCTGTTCAGAGGGAGGGCAGGGGCTGCAGAAATCATGGAAAATCAATCTTCAAATATTTATAGAAGTTCCTAGAGGGGACCCTTATACCCTGGGCCATGGCTTTGGCTATTAAGGGCTGCTGGTCTTGTGAGTAGACACCAAATTAGGGAAGACAGCTCAGGACAGAGACCCAGGGGGAGATAAAGGCACCTCCTCTAGGAAGCCCCCCAGGGTCTGATCCTCTGCATGAGGCAGGGAAGTGGAAGCACCCTAGCTCCTGGGGGCTATTTCAGGGGGGAGGGATGTGGGGATTTCCATACCTCAAGGAGGACTCTGGCTGTCCATGCTGCCACTTCCTCAGGCAGAGAGGAAGACCAATGCAAGGCAATGGGGGCGGCAACACAATATTTCTCCCTTTGGGGTGGTGCATGAACATAAACCACCCCCTCAACACACCCCCTCCTCCAGCCAGACCTCACTGGATAGCCCAGTGGGATTCAGAAATGACTCCAAGATCTCAGAGATGCAGGATGGCATGGCGCCAATCCTGGGATCCCAGAAAGATGCCAAAGTCCACAGAGTGCCAGAGGTGCTGGAAACTGAAACAGCCAGCCTCCCCAAAGGCTCCCCCAAATCCTCCCAAAAGCCAGAGTAGACTCCCCAACATGCACATGGCAACTCTCTGCTCACAGCCCTCCAGGCTCCCATCTCCTTTGGGATGAAAGCCCAAATCCTCACCATAGCACACAAGTCCCTGCATGACCTGCCCCCAACTCCTCCATTCCCTCATCTCCTCCCTCTCCCCCGTTCACTCTGCTCCAGCCACACAAGCCTCCTCCCCGTTTCTCCAGCACAGTAGATGCCAAGCAAGGTCCTGCCCCAGGGCTTTGGCATGTGCTATGCCCCCTGACTTGAACTCCTTCACCCTGTCTCTGCGCAAACTTCTCCTTGAAGATCATCCACAACTGGCCTGGTTTTGTGGAAGCTCCCTCCCTGCTTCTCTGCTTCCTGACCCCTGTTGTAGGTTCCTTTAGGCCATACTGCCCATCCTCCCACAGGCATGTCAGGGGCACTCAGTGCCAGGTAGAGTGACCAATTCATACAGGTTTGCCCGGATATACCCAATTTGAATGCTCCAAGTCCCAGTAACCCTCTGAATCCTCCTGTATACAATAAGGGCCGGGAGCTGGGCCTCTCCCCAGGTTTGCAGGATGGGCAAGATTTGTCAAGGGCTAAAGTTCTACATCATGCCCCTTCTAGACCCATTTCCCCTTTGGGGATGGAATGGAGACCCAGGACCCCGCTGGGGCCAAGAGGACCTCAGAGGCTCAAGCCCCTGTCTCACACAGGACCCCCTTGTGAGTGACACAGAGGCTTCCCATCCCCAGTCCAGGGGCCTAGGTTCCAGGTGCTGGACAAAGGATGATATGCTGACCTCCAGGCTCCCTTCACTTTACTCAACACAGGCTGTGAGGCTGCGATAGCAGCTTGTTCTCCAGCCCCGACTCCAGTTGCTGGACCTGAGTGCCACCCCCCACCTCCCCAACAGCTCCTCCTCTGGCACCCTGTCCACAAGGCTGCAGCCAGTCTCAGCCCCACTCCACATTCCAGGTCCGGTGCTGTACCCTGTTCCTGCTCTGCTCCAGCCCACCCTCTACACAAGCTCATCTTTTTATGCAAACTCGCAGTCCCGAGGCAGCGGGATCCTACCTGAGCCTCCAAACTGGGTGCCAGCCAGGGAGGTGGGCCGGCCTTTCCCATTGGCCACTGGCAGCGGAAACATCTGTGGAGAGGCAAAGAGAGGTAAATGAGGTGGCGGGGAGTTAGGGGGTGCACATCCAGGGATGCAGCTCTACCTAGGGGTCCTATCTCATCAGAAGGCCCAGGCAGGGAAAGGCAGCCAGGCTCACTACACACTGCCTGAGCAGAGAAAGGCTCTCCTGGAGAAGCCCTTAACCAAGGCCCCTCTGACAACACAGCCCACCACTGGCAACAACTGTCCAGTGGAAGTTAAAACCTCTTGTTTACACAAGCTTTATATTTTCCCAGGTTTGCATTTTTTTGGATGGACTAATTATTTAGGTACTTAATACAACTTATCTTCTGTTAGATGTGATACACAGTATTCTTTAAGTTTCAGCTTTAAAAAAGTGAAAACATTTACACCTAGTAGGTAGACCCTGCCTAGCCCCTCCAGTCCCACAGGTCACCATGTGCACATCCCTGACTTGAGTGGCAGCAATATAGGGAAGACAGTCAGGCCCCACTGCTGGGGCAGGCAGCGTGACCTAGATGGAGTGTCTCCCACGTGCTGGGCTCTGTGCTCAGCAGCTGCCTGGGCAGCCCTCACCATACCCTGACTGCTGATGCCTGCCTGCCCTTCAGAAGAGGAAACTGAGGCTCACAGAGGTGGGAAGCTGAAGGGACCAGGAAGGGCTATACCCCCATGGCTGAGTGATTCCCTAGGCACCATCCTCCATGCCCAAACCCTGGGTGTTAAGTCCCCACAGATTAAACAACTTAGTAGTATTAATGGGAAAACCCGACATCAACAACAAAAAAAAACCCACCAAAACAAATCTTTGCCATGTCCCACAGATCTAGGTTTTACAGATTTCGTTTGGGGCTCAAGTGATTAAAGTAGCTGGAATCGAGGCCAGTGGCCCATTGGGGAGTGGCTGAAGGCTCCCCCAAACCTTTCTAGGCCAGCCAGAATATGAAGGTGCATCTCGCCTGAAGGTATGACTTTTATGTGGGTACCATGAGACTTGGGAGGGGCCCAGGAAGTGGGGCCCTGTCTCCCATGCCCCATCCTATAGGAGGAGAAACTAAGCCCCCATGCTCAACTGACTGTGGCAGGAGGTAAGCACATAGGCTCATGAGGTCTGCACCCCTCTTGGGAAATGTGTTTGTGTGCTGTGCTCCCTCAACTGGGCCAGCCTCTCCAGGGCCCTATTCTCCAAGATGGACCCTCTCCCACTGGTGAAACTGAGGCTCACATTGGGGGAGGGGCTGGCCTAAGCCAGGACAAGAACCAACAGGGCCCGATGCCTGGGGATCAGCAGCCAACCCCTGGGGCTTGTCTTTGTTTTGTCCCCTAGAGTATCAGGGGCTGACGTGGCACTTGCCACAGGGGGCAATGGGCTGTGTCCTTTGGGCGCTGTGGGCCTTGTCATCAGCCCAGATAGGCCCCATACCCCTGAACCTTGGTATTCTCTTCTGTGAAATGGACTTGGGGCTCTGACCACATGGGATGTTGTGAAACACCAAAGCACATGGGTGTCTTGGGCACTTGGGGGTCTCAGTACACATGCCAAGCTCAGAGGGGAACCCAGTCAGGTCCAGGGCAAGGGCTGCCAGACCCCCTGGTCTCCCCAGCCCCTCATCAGGCAGAAGGACCATCTGTACCCCCCCCCCCCCCCATCATCACCTCAACACCTTCCTTTTCTAACTCCGAAAACTCAGGAACAATTTAAATTGGGTTTCCTTTGTTCCTTTGTATTTAATTCTGACTGTTGCCTTTTCTACTTTTGAGAAACTAACCCCCCCCAAAAGAGCTGCTTCCCTTTAAGTTTCTTTGTTTCAGTCTAAAAACAAAGTGGTTCAAAGAAACAAATTAACTCAGTTTCTGTGGGACAGGTGAGAGGGGGCGCTATGGAGGAACAGAAGAAGGGACCTGAGCTAAAATAGGTGGCTGCCTCTATGCCCAGTGGCCAGGCCACTCTCTTATAACAAGGAGGGACAATGAAAAATCAAGCTCTGAGTTTCTCTGAGAGGAGACACCAGGCCCCTCACCCTCTCAGCCTGTTTCTTCATCTGTGAAAGGAGTTGCTGCTTTTCAGCTGGGGAAGGGGAAACATTCAGCCCCTTTAGACAGAAGAGGGAGGCTGACAAGTGGTTCAGGGTTCAGACAGAGGTGGCGACGGGGTCAGCTCTAAACCTGTGATCCCCCATCCCCAAGCGGGTCTGTTCTGGCCCAGTAGTCTGTGACTTGTCAGTTTAACAAAAAAAAAAAAGTGAGCTGTACCCGTGGTTACTCAGCCAGGGAGGCAAAAATAAAACGGCTTAAAAATATGAGCCTGGCCCTTCCTGAGCGGAGGCCCTGTGTCTCAAGGGCTGTTTTTCTGTAGGATGGCTGATATTTCAGTTTGGGGAGTTGTTTTTGACAGACCTCAGTGGCCTGAGCCTCATACTAGTGGAGGGTTAAATTCAGACCGAAAGTGTCCTCCCCCAACCTATTTCAAACCAAAAATGGTGCTTGGGTGGGGGGAAGGGTGAGACTTAGGGAGCTGTCCATGCTGGGTTCCTGGGTTCGTGTGGATCACCCGAACACCCGCCACAGGTGGCCCACTGCACAGATAAGCAAGCCAAGGACCTTGATCCAAGGTACACTCCAGCTCCCAGCACCCAAGGGAGCTCTGCTCTGGTTTCTGGTCTCCCTGGGCCTGTCTGAGCTGTGTGACCTATGGAAGCCAGTACCCTCTCTGAACCTCCACCTACCTGGCAGGGAAATGGGCAGTTCAGGGTGGATCAAACCGCCCAAAGTATAAGGATTCTCACCTTCCCCCATGGAGCCTGCCGCTCCCCAACAGTAACAATGGCAGTGATAGTAGTGGTGACTGAGCGCTGCCCAAATTCCCACACTGTTCACGAGGTCTCCTCCTGACTGCTAAAACCATGGACACTGCCCACCCCCCGCCCCCGCGCCCGCCTTTAAAAAAAAATCCATAATGTAGCAAATAACCCTGATCACACCCATTTTACAGATCAGGGCTGAGCCTCCCCTTGGAGACAATGGAGGCTCTGGGCAGTCCTTCCCACTCTCTGGGCCTCAGTTTCCCCACCTGTAGAGTGGTAGACTGAACCCACTCTATGCCCCAACAAACGCCTGGGAGACAGGTGCCTTTGGAAGCTGACAAGGGCCCCAATTATGTACACTGCAATGGGGTGTCAGCCTGCCCCCAGAGGGACACCCCAACTCCCCCAGCTCTACCTAGGTGCCCCTCCACCCAAACAAGTATGAGGTCTGGCTGTTGGGGCTGTTTCAGTTGGTGCTTCTTTCCCAGGAATCCTGCGGGTGCAGAGGGTGTAGGAGATGGGCGGAGCCTGGCTTACCATGCTGAAGTCCAGGAGGTCACTGAGCTCTTTGTCGGTGCCCACCGGTGCCATCCTCTGCGGCTGGTTCATCCTCCAGCTGCAATGGTGGGCTCAGGGGCCAAGGTGGGTACCTCAGTCCTAGAGATGGCCCTGCTTGGTAGCCCGTGGTGGTGGATGGTGGTGGTGGTGAAAGCAGGGAGGGGCAGGGACAGACACATAAGGAGAAATGGACAGGAGGAAAAAAAATTTTGAGACTGTGGCCTAAGTAGACAGATGGGAATGGGGGAGCTGTTTTAAAAGCCCCTTAAACCCCTGAGGGTCTGGGTCCTCCTAGACTGAGTCCCTTCCTGACCCTGGGGGGTGGCACAGGGCAGCCAGAATTCCAGCCCCTGGAGAGACCCCTGCCCAGAGCCCCGAGTTTGAACAATGAGGGAGAGGGGGAGAAGCAAATGTACATTTCCTAATTCCCTCTGCGACCACCAGGGACTCAAGCCGCAAATTTTAAACTAGCAGCAGAGCGGGAGTAGTCCCTTCTCCACTTACTGGGCCCCTCTCCCGCCACATCTCCCATTCCAACCACCCCCAAGTTAACCGTGGCCCCGCCTCTGGGAAGGGGAGGGGCGACTCAGACCCCGCCCCGAGGAAATTTGCTGACCCCCTCCCAAGCAGCTGTCACAGCACGTTGAAGCCTCGGTCACCCCCAAATTCAAAGAGAAAGAAATCCTCAAGGCGAGGCCCTCTGCCCTCTTCATGACTAAATGGGGGTGGGGGTGGGGGAGCAGAACGGGACCTCAAAGCTCCCCTCCACCTCTTCCCCCCACAAAAAACAACCCTAGCTTGTAACAACCCTGATGTATCCGGGAATTATTTTTAAGCAACTTTGAAAACATCTCCTGCCTCCCGCCCCTGGGGAAAGCGGGTTCCTAGACCAGGATCTTCTGCATGGTCCCAGGGGTTCCATTCTAGAACCGGGGGTGGGGGGTCCACCTGCCAGAACCCATCCCCCCCTCCACCCCACCCCACCCCACGAGAAGGGCGCGCAGCGGGTCTCCGTTGTCCCGTAGACGGACAAGACACCCCTCTGGCTTCCTCCCCGGGTCCCCAGATGTGGGCGGGGGTGGCCGCGGAGACACCGCGGAAGCTGCGGGAAGAGGGGGTTCTGAGCCCGAGGGAGACCCAACTTCAGGGGCGGAGAACTCCCCGCTTTGTTTGTCAACTAGAGACAAGGTGTGAAACGGCTGCCCCCAGGCACCCCCTCCCCCGCTAACTTTTTTCTTTTGGGGGAGGCCATGTGAAACTGACTTTTTGAGTACGAAACCGCAATTTTTTTGTAGGATCGGTGAAACTGATTTTAAGGCAGACTGGGGGGTTGGGGGAGGGCCGAAACGGGCTTTTCTAGGGAGCTAAGACTTCGGGGCGTCACAAGGACTTTTGGGGACTCGGAAAGTATCTGGAACCACTTGGAGAGAAGGGGATCGGAACGTCTTCCTTTGAGGGGGAGGCCCGGGAAACCAGCCGCCCACCCCCCCACAGCCGGTGCCGGCGGCGCGGCCCAGGAGCCCTTTGAAGCTGGG